GTGGACTTAATGCAATATATCAAATTCAGAAGCACGAATTGTGTTAAGAAAATTACCTTTTCCAACTTTCGTTGTTAACTTGTAAGCCAGATATGTCTATGAATGCAATAGACTGTTTATTAGAGGTCTTAACTTGAATCCCCCTAACCCAACCCAACCCATATTCCCTCTGACATATACAAGTTCTTGATTTCAAATATGTCTTTGTGTTGATAAAACACAAATTTTCATTGACACAATTGTTTTAATTTGCTTGTTGCTTTAGGCTAAGATTGTCATCAAAATTCAGATGTTCAAAATAATTCTGCCATTTGACTAACACATTGAGGCCATAAGTCTTCAAGTTCTGTGTAAATTTAAGTTTGGGTTGAGGGGAAAGTTCTGTTAATACCAAGAAATATGGCTGAGGTTAGTCCCAAAGTAAGAAAGTTTATTTCTGTCTTTACACGTTTTTTATTCATTTTCAATAAAAACTGAAATTAAAAAGTTTAGGAATGTGTGTCAAGTATCCGTTTTCTCATATCTCGTGGTAGAGAATTACAAGCATTCAGTGCATGTGAATGTTAAATAAAAAATGTTGGCATCTCAGCTAGAAGGCAAATTTAGAATGGCTACAAGCATTCATATAAAGTATTATATTTAATTCTATATTCTATGTTGAGAGACCAAAAATGAATTCAATATCGGACATATATATAAAACACCAATACACCTAACCATGAGATATTTTTATGTACATGTTTTATATGATATTGCATGCATACTTCAATACCTGGATTACAAGCAGATATTGATTTTGATAAAATCTATATGATAAAAATGTTCAGAACTAACACTAATAAAAGCGAAAAAACCCAGGGATTTGTTTTCCCCTTTATGTCTACCTGACAAGAATATGACTACCTGGTAGGAATGGTGCCCATTGAGTACCCTAAACACGATATCAAAGTCACGGCATATTGGACTAGGATTACGGGATAAAAATCCTTCCGCATATTGCACACGGTGGAAATATCACTATCTCCCTGGTCCCAGTTCTTCTCCCGGCCAGAACACTTGTGGAATTCGTAAAACACTTTAAAATTTCCACGGCACGTTTCATTTTGACATTATCTCATCAAGGAGATACTGAAGTGTTTGATTTGAGAGATATAGAAGGTTTCTATAGGGTTTACATCAGTGAGAGTGAATTATCTAAAGGAACTCCATTGTACCGGGGTGTCGAGGGTCTCCCTCAATCCAGATGTATAATGGAAACACAGTGAAAGCTGTGAAGTGCTTTGATTGCTTGAATCCCGACACATTAGTGTGACGATGTTCTTTTATCCACTTCCTTTGGTCACGGAATTCAGGTAGGAAATGTTTTTTTATCAAATATGTTTCTATATCCAGGCTTCGAGTGTCAGTAAACTAACTTCAGAGTGCTGTGTTCTGGTATAATGTACTACCTCATTTTCTAAATAAGCTGTGTTATATATATGGGAAAACAGTGGTTCATTTGCAATTGTTCTAGAATTGATGGTACATTATGAGGTTATAATAGGTAGAATTTGAACGTTTCCATGTGACAAACACTGAGTAAATTTGTTTGGTTCAGCAAGTTCCACCATTTATCAATTGTCCAATATGTGTATGTGATGTTAGTAATGAGGAAGAATATGGATATAAAATAAAAAAGTGGTATATTTTATCCCATGTGCCCTGTTTGTATAACAGAATAGTGGTATTTGAAAGGGAATTGGCACTACATGTATATTCCTCTTAATATCATGAGGAATGTGTGATATAACGTGAAATGTGACATTAGCAGAAGTTATGTTTTCCTTTGAAAATAAAGAATAACATGTATTTCATATAAGTAAAATGTATGAATGAAATCATATCTAAATAGAGATTTAAAATTTCCATGGCACGTTTCCATAATATCCACGTGGGGATAATATTTCACATTGATTTTGTTCTATAATTTACCACGCATGTTGATATTTATTTCTTCTACAAAATGCATCATTGTGATACTGCTCCTTAGCTCAGAGGATGGAGAGGTCTGTGACTTCACTGTTCTGTCTCAGGTTTAAGCAATTGTTCAATATACATTGTGTATACAGACATGTTCAGTTCTCACAATGGTTTTCCTGATTTTGTGATTGGAATTAAGAAGATTTTGACATTGTCACTATGTAATATGGATTAAGAATTTCTCATAATGTATGATATATGTTTTACTGGTTTCTCATAAAACTCCTGACTTTGTTTTTGAATTGTACCATACATGTTTATGTTCACACAACAGTGTGATCAACTATAGCTGTGTTTATCTGTAAGTGTTTACTTTAGTTACACAGGTTTTATGACATACCTATACAGGTACTTATCTTCATTTAAGGACTTAACAGATTTCAAGTAATTTTCTTCATACGTTGTATATCTTCATTCAGGTGCAAAATCTCCAATTTAAAGTAGGGGGGGGGGGGGGGGGGGGGTGTCTTATTACAAGGCAATGAAATATCATTTGTTGGCAATTCTACTGAACTGAAGAAGATATGGGTGGGCTTAATATCAAGCATAGACCTATATCATTGTTTGAAAAGGAAATTAAGAAAAATAAAATGATGTCAATCTGAATTTACATGTTATATATCTATAAATTGACATTTGTGATCTTTGGTTGCAACAATACATCTAGATCCAGTCGTTCAGTATCTGATTTGTTAACATTCATTTTCAAAATGTGTTGTTTATGAAATAACTGGATTATGATACATATTTTTGTATTCCTTATCTTTGGAAAACCTATTTGAATCCTTAAATATGTCATTAAAATTTCAAATTTCATTTTTTTTTGAAAATTTACCGGATGGAAATTTTGTGTTAACCTGAAGTTAATCTAACCAGACTTTGAAAAAATGTGTCGTGAACACTGACGGGTTCCATCAAAGGACTGTACAATTATAATACCTGCTTGTAAAATTATATTACCAATATAAGGAAATTTTGACTTGGCAGGTATTTGAGATCTGACTGCAGTAGGTTGAGGAAAAGTCAATTAAATTATATTTCTGGGGCTTGGTTATTAATTACTCTATGAAAAGTAATTTAAAAATAACAGTACATTGTATGTATATTAGAAATTGTGGTTGCTGTTTTGTGTGAACTATTGAAGGTTAAAGGTATAAGTAGGGTTTTAATTAATTTAATCAATCAATCATTAAGTTAAACATTTCAGAACAGAAAAACATACATGTATAGACTTAATTAAACATTGTGTTTACCTTGAATCAAAATATTTAACCTATGAAGGGTAGATTTGCATTTTTCTAGTAAGTCTTTTTGTAATGGGATTAAGTTTTAAACACTGCGGTCTAGTAAACCTCCTAAAGGATTAATACCACATCTCATTTGGATAGCATTTTATCAGCTTTTGTAAATTAACTGTTGTTGATATTTTTGTAATTATGAAAACTGAAAATTAAGATATGCATGCCCTAATATTCAAAATGATCATATTTGGATATAATATACACAAAATATTTTGCATGTATTTGTTTAAAAATTGAATTTGAAATTTGATTTAACATTTCATTAAGCTGATGAACCTTTATATAACTTAATCTTGGTTCAGAAGGTCTTCAGTGAAATAATTAAGAATCAAATAATCAGGTAGAAAAAAACTAACTCACATACCAGTAATACACTGTACTCAAAAAACTGTGTTACTTATGTATGAATGACCTTACTGGGATATAACAATCCCCACTGGTCGTTGAGACTAAAACATCTCCGTTCTCATAATTCCCTTTCATTGTATACAGCCATATATAACTAGTTAAGTTTCCAATTCAATATATGATCGGCTACAAATGTTTACTTGGAGTCGAATTGATATTCTACCTCAATACAGTATTAGACATTGTAAGAGACAAATAACTCACTTGTTTTTTTATGTGTGATCATAAATAATACTCATTTTGTTGTTTAGGATTCCAAAATAAGAAGTGTTTCTATATTAGGTAGAATGCTAAAAAAGGGGAAAGAATGGAATATTCGTTTTGTATAATGAATACATAATAATTTATAATAATTTGTGTTTACCTCAATGCTAGATATTTTAATACCTGTCTTATATTACTGTACCGTTACATCAAAGGATCTCATTCATTTCTCACTCGGTGATCAAAGGCTTGTGGTAACAGCAAGTTTAAAAGATTTTTTTATTGGATAGTTCAATACAGCATAATGTGTTCAAGAAAGGAAATGGAATTCTACATAAGAATGAACAAGGATTATTTTGCAATCGTTTTGTACAAATCGCCCTCCGTTCCACTCATAACCCCCTACTCCACCCTCATCCCTACCAACCCAATAGCCCTGTTCTTGTGAATGTTCCTTTACCTGTTAGTGGAGGTTGTATATAGGCCTAGGAATTGTTCATTGACCTGCTCACTGCTTGTTGCTGTGTGTTTACTTTTGCATTCAATTGAAATAATGTTTTTCAACCGACAAAATGTTCTGTTAACATTTAAAAGGATCAAGAGCAGGCATGGAGGTGCATTAGAATATGGTCACAGTCAGTGTACTATTGGATACAAGTTATATTTCCTGTAATATTTATTTTTTTGTTTTCACATTGAAAATACAAATTATTGCAGCATGTTGAATTTGTGGCTTTGGGATTGAGTTATTGATGTGTTATGTTAATGACTGTAGGAATGTTTACTGTAAGAGTTAGTTTGCAAGCTCACTATATACTGCTTAACTTTGAAACGTAGCACTGTCGGGGAAATCAGTGTCCGTTTCTATGTAAAACAATGATAAAATATGTATTGTTTGTTTCAATGCTCTTACTAATGTTCAGAAAAGACATTCCGTAATCTGTTACATTTGTAACACCATCGTTACTATGGATACTGGATTGCTTTGACATCACTGAACTTGTTGTTGTGATGGAAAACGAAATATCTTTAATGATTCAACATTAAACTTTGATGTTTTACTTGCAGAAATGCGTCCCGAGTGACCTCTGAGTCACGCGAGGCTATGTTCAAGCGAGCCATGACGTTACTATCAGCACGTTGTACGAGTACGGGGCCGGGCTCCGCGGAGATGCCATTTGGGAAGGGAGAAGCATTTGGGGTCCAAGTACCTCAATACTTTTATGTCAAACAGGAGAAACCAAGACCAATGCCACCCCTCAAGGTAAGCATGTCCAGCAGACCTTTTCTTAACCATGACCTTGAAATAATGTCCTTGATCATTTGCAAAAGATTCTTCCTATTTGCATTAAAATCTCTTAGCGATCAGAGGTTGACTGCAAGCAGTCCAGGGGGCGTGGTGGCCCAGTGGTTAAGGTATCTGACTGTCTACGATCACTAGCCCTCCACCACTGGGTCGCAGATTTGAGGGCTACATGTGACAGTTAGAACTGGCTTAAGGTCGGTGGCTTTTATTCAGGCACTCCAGTTTTCATATACGAAAAAACTAGCACGTCCTGAAATGACCATAGCTGTTTATAAGCCATAAATCACCGAAAAACCAAACCAAATAAGCTGTCCAGACATGTACCATGAGTAGTTACCCCCTCCTGGGACAACTCATGCTAGCTTTCGGTGCTGGACACACAATAAAATATATTAAATATTTATCATTTCTACTGATACAGTTTATATATGAATCATAATTAGGGCCCTGTATCAGAGATGAGGGTGCCCTATAGTAATCACTCTGTCCGTCTGTCTGTTTATCCGTCCACAAATTTTGTTACTGGCTGATATCTTTGGAATTTATTGACCGATGTACATAAAATTTGGTCAAAATGTTCAGTTCACAAAAATACACATTGAGGTTAAACGTCAAGGTCAAAGGTCAAGGTCATTAGGTTCAAATGTCAAGGTCAAATTTTACATCTTTTCACTGATGAACATTTTGTTATGACATTATGAAGTCAACTGACCAAAGGTCAAGGTCATCGAGTCAGGGGTCAAGGTCATTGGGTCAAAGGTCAAGGTTAAATTTTGTATCTTTTCACTGGTGAACATTTCGCTATGACACTTTGAAGCAATGTTGCTCAGAATTAAACAAGGAGTCAATTGACCAAAGGTCAAGGTCACTGGGTCAAAGGTGAAGGTTAGATTTTGTACCTTTTCCCTGATGAACATTTTGTTATGATATTAACAAGCAAAGTTTGTCGAAATTAAAGAATAAGTCAACTGACCAAAGATCAGGGTCACTGGGTTAATGGTCAAGGTCATTTGGGTCCAATATTCAAAGACTAAGTGGATCTCTGACTTTGACCTTGGATCTTGATGGAGGAGGTTTATAGGGTGAAATAAAACAAATCAAAGCTAACAAATGAGTATTGCACTGGTATTTACATTTCTGTTAGCCCAGCAAATATGAAGGTGGAAGGAAACAAGACTCGCATCATAGTAAATGTAAAATCTATATTTTGCTTCCTTGCGATTCTTTTTGAAGTCCAAATGTCAAACATCAAGCTTAGCTATATGGGCAGATTGCTTCTTGATGTTTATGGGGGATATATTGTCACAAGACGGGGCCCATACTGACCTGTCAGTGTTCTAGTTTCATATATTTTCTGTGGATCTGTGGTGCATTATATGGACAAATATGCAAGTATAAATGCTGCATTACTCATTGTACATGTGTAATTTGTGTCATCTCCCTTGAAAAACAAACTTTCAGCGAGCAGTATATTGTAATTAAGATTTACCAGATTGTGTAGCATTCAAATGTGTCATCAAATAATATCAAAATTTCAACATTTAACAGGTTTTCATTTTTAATGTGAAACCCCTTTTAAATTGATGATAAGATAGCAGACATCCTGAAACACTAAAGTAGTCCACAAGTGTATGGTTATTAGGTAAATCTGCCATAGTGGCCCACAGTCTGTAGGTACTATCTGTCTATAGAAGGAAAAACTACCTGGTACTCAATAATTGTAGTAAACATTTTGATATTGTTTAAGTTTTTTATGATCAAAATGGTATGCCCATTAAAATCATATACTGATTGTAATAACCACTATTAAATGAATATTTTCACTATTTTGTCAGCAACTCTGTTCATGAAAAAATTAAGGAGGAGATCATTACAACTGTGTGGTTAACGTTTGTTATAGTTTAAAAATGACACAGTAACTCACCCGATTTACTATATTAACAAACAATTGATGAAATGTTTTAGAATACCATTACTTTTGTCTTTTTTCAGGCCTGGAACGGTTACAATGGAAATGTTTACTTTGAGCCGATACAGATCAATACACTGGCAGAAGGTTCCATGGGCACTGTGTCTGTCATGTCGTCCCAATCTACCAACGACAAACTTCACAGGATGCTGCTTAACAGGAAACAGATGAGCTCCGGAAAGTTTGATCGCATTGACAGCGCAACCACAAGGAGTGTTTCACGCCAAACAGGGAAGTCGTTGAGTGTGCGAAGTTCTACGCGACAGTCACTCGTCCTGGACAAGAAAACTGTGATGAATGGTTACAATGAAAACATACAGGATGACCTTGCCCTTATAGAGGGTGTTGAGTGCACTGGAAGTCTGGCCGTTCGACCCAAAAGCGACAAAACCATGGATAAGGAGAGCCGACGTGCACTCATGTACAACAAGGAACGGCTCTGTAAGGGGTCCGTTGTACACCGAATCAACGAAGGTCGCAATAAGTCACGAATGGTACTCAAGGTCAATGGTGGTAAATTTGTGAGTCCTAATACAATTTCTCCGTTACAACGCACTCAGACTCAGTACTCCCTTAGCAACCAGAGGTTGACCACAAATAGTCCAGACCCCTACCATCAGCAGTTACCTCCCCTGGAACAGCTGCGTGCTTCCGTGCGACACATGGACACTGCGGACAAGCAGAAAAATTCATCCTCATATAGATATTCCAAACCAGTGACAATGACGGAGGAGATTAAACCCTTTATAAAGTATAGCCCGGATGTAAAAAAAAGTCGGCAGCCTAGTTATGTGTGAGGGCTGTTGTGGTAATATTCGTATATTTATGGACAAGTGCTGTGTATAGAGAGTATTTTACCAAAGATGTGCTTATGATGTCACAAGGATTGACAAGTGTCTCATGTACAACATGGTTGCGATTTCGGAATTTTTGTTCCTGATGCAAGTTTTAACGTTTCTCCATTGATGACCCATTGTTGTAACAAGGGGAGACAATTTATGATCAGTGAAAATATTGGGTGTTGATAGTGGATCCAGATGTCAGTTCAGCATCACATCAATATTTGAATACTATATAAAGATCTGTGACCCACCAACTTTTGGGTAAATCCCACAGCAGCTGGGGTGTATCTATATATTGAGCATATATATAAGGCACATGTGCACATTGTGTCAAAGGATTGAACATGTGTCTCTATAATTAGATCAAAGGATTATACACTTGTCCCAATCTTGTGTCAGAGGAGTTTTATTTTTAAAGGATGTGAACACTATACTTTGAATGTGACCATGTAATATTATACAACTGATAGCGCTTCAGTATGTGGGGACATAATTTCACATCAGGGTGTTGCAGTTGTTGGAAATTAATTTCTTCATGTACAACATGACATTCAACATGCATTAAGTTAGTTGAATATTTCACTGGCATAAATGTGGATTTTAAGAGGAAATTTAGCTACATGTCGGTAAAATAAATTATAAGGTGGAGTTGGAGTGCATCCAAAGTTTCTGAGTGGCCATTAGCTTTGTATACAGGCTCATGTATATAGATGGAGCTAGGTCATTTACAAGTAGGAATCGTCTTAGTTATAGTGCCGAAATTCATAGTCAACTTTATCAAAGTACAAACAAACAAGGAGCCAATTGCATTACCGGTGGAGGTATCTAAAATTAGAACACCATGTATGTTGTCATTGATTTAAAAATCATTGATCTGGAATATCTAATATCCATTTAATCTGTAGTGGAACTGGCCATGGACTGGGTCGATCACCGGTGACCAGGTAGCTCAATTGGTTTGGAGGGTACCGGTCCTGGGTTTGAACGCCGGTCTGGCGATTCATTTTTCGCTCTACTGGTTACAAATCATTATTTCTAAACATTATTCACCAGACTCTGGACCATGTTATAAAAATAATTACAGTAACTTATAGCTATCTTTATTTACTTACTACCGGATTACAAAGTTACTTCCCTTTACAGTTTGATATATATTCTGGCAGAGTTGGATATGATCATAATGTTTGAACTTGTGTCTAACTGATGTATGATGTCAAATATTTCTCAGGGTATTTAATGTAACAGACCCTGGGTCTAAGTATTTAATGTAACAGACCCTGGGTCTAAGTATTTAATGTAACAGACCCTGGGTCTAAGTATTTAATGTAACAGACCCTGGTTCTAAATTAAGAAAATTACTGAAAAAATTAGGAATATTGGGTTATCATATACTTTATTATAAAATGCCTTTAAATTATCACTTAAAATGTTTCAAATCTTCAACAAAGGTCCACAATCTGCAATGTTGATTTAGCAAGTACCAGAACGGATTTGAGATGGCATAATGTTACAGATTTAAAAAGGAGGATGAAAAGTTCCTGATGTTTGAATATTACCAGGGGGTACATATAAACTTAACCCTTTCACCACTGTAGACAATAATGGACTTGTCCAGATCAATGCATGGGAGAGTCTACTGAATATGCATATGGGTGAAAGGGTTAAGTACGTACATGTAAGTGAAAATAAGACGTAAGCCTGTAGATGTTTTATGAGGGGAGATAATCCCATTACTTTCTGTTCTGTGCTACTACACTTAAAGTGCATTGCTTGCTTCAAATTTTGAAGTCTGTTACGTATACTCAACAGTTATCAATGTGCACTGTTTACTCTGTACTTGAGTTTGAAAATTGTCAGCCCTTAAATTGGATTGTTATAACTGGCATGGATTTTTCATAGTATGAACACGTCAATTTTGAAATTAGAACATTTTTTAAAAACAAGTTTTTTTAAGAAATCTCTAGATACCATGACAGTTAGATCCTACTTCCAAGTTTCGTACGTTGATTGTAGTCGGTACAATTACAAGGCTGTATGAGTTATCTCCCTTGTGGGATCAGCCACATAACATCTTTTTTTTCCATGCGTTGAGAATAAAGGTATATTATTGTGTAGTGGACAGGAGATGGAATATCATTTAAAAGTTTTATTAAATCCTTTGCACTCTAAAATTTGATGATTGTATGCCAAATTTGGGTCAGTAATGGAAGTAGGACTGGCTGGCATACTGTCTTCTTATCTACAAAGACCAACACAGAATTCTAATTAAATCAGAGCACAAGGAATTATCTGATAATTTAATTAGCACATACAGTTTTTTTACCAAGTGAAGTCATATAGCTTAGATCTAACATTTAATTACCTGCTAGATATGAAAGGTTTGTCACCAATACGAATTCAAAATATTATGCAAGATTTAATATATGTGTTAAACTTTTAGCTCTTGGTCGAGTGGAAATGTTTACACCTTGATTCTTGAAGTAAGCTAAGAGTTACAGTACATAACTGAAATGATCGCATTAGAAATGGAGCTGCTTTATTTGAATACTGTATACTGGTCAAGAAATGTTCGCCCAGTCATACTTTAGCCCCTTCCCTGTGAAATCCAAATTCGCCTTTCACATTTAATTACTACGTCAATTATGTTGTTGACTAGGTAATGTGTGCTGCAGTGATATATTTGCCTACATTCCAGAGGGTGAAATAGGCAAAAATTGAACTGCAATGAACATTTCCCAATATACAGTATGTCAATATGTTTGAGCATGCATAAGAAGTGGAAAGTTGTGTACTGCAATGTATTATCGGTGCACATTAGAAAATTGTTTTCTCCATTACAATTGTTTTGTTAAAATTATTTTCGCCCTTACAATTGTTTTGTTAAAATTATTTTCGCCCTTACAATTGTTTTGCTAAAATTATTTTCTCCATTACAATTGTTTTGTTAAAATTATTTTCTCCATTACAATTGTTTTGTAAAAATTATTTTCGCCCTTACAATTGTTTTGTTCAGCATTCAGATAGCTTTGATGACTTTGAAATTGAAAATAAGTGATTTTCAGACAATGTGAATTAATTATGCCCCGTACATTTTATGGGAGGAGGGGGGTGGGTGGATTGTAGTGTTATCCATGTCCATCTGATATCCAGATTCATTGTCATGACTCGACTTACTTCACTCCATCAGAGGGCCCAGAGAAGCCATTTTGTAGTTATTGGATAGTGACTTTATTTAAATTTTCGTGTTAAATGTTGGTACGTTTGGAGATACATCATCATCATGAAGTCTCAGCTACAAACACAAGAAGTAAATTTTGCTTCTCATACAGAGCAGAGAAACACCATTGTATTTAAATAGAGTGGATGTTTTGTTATTTTTCATGATCAACCCACATGGTATGAAGTGTTTCGAAACACTATGTAGAATTAAAGCATTTTAATAATTTTAAGAGATGCTGTAAATGTGTTGATCTGCCTTCCATATGCTGTAAATCACGTTTCAGAAACAAACAAAAAAAGAATTTTCTCATCACCTTCACATGTACAGCACACTACATGGTTAGAAGCCGGGAACACACATCATGCCAAATCTAGTTGGCCCAAATATTTCATTGTATCTGTACACTGTGTGTACATATTCTTCAGTTGTAAAATTAGTTCTTCATTTGCAAAATGATCCAGCTTATCTGTGATATTTAATTTATTCCAATTTATGAAGTATTTGTATTGTCCTCTCCCTAATTATGATTGATGTACTTGTGTACTATAATAATAATAGTAATAATAGTTGGAGGTTCTCATATACTGCTTTATCATAACCTAGTTCGTAGGTCGTCTCAGAGCGGTTCACAAATTATTATCCGTGGTTATAGGGCCTTTGTAACTAGCCAATACATTTCTCAACTCCCTGGGGGGGCATACAGCCGGAGCTGCCATTTCGGCGCTAACAGCTAGCATTCAACAATTCTAGCACTGCCCAACCACATACTCATTTACAGCTGAGTAGACTGGAACAAGCGGAGTAAAGTATCTTGCTCAAAGATACAACACAGTGCCATGCCGTGACACGAACCCGCAACTCTTCGAGCATGAGCCTGGTGTCCTACCACTGGACTACTATGCCTCCTAACTATGTTATATTCTATAATCACTTCAGTATATACAGTTAAAACCTGTGTAATCCAACACTGTAGGAACCGAAGAAATTGGTCAATTTAGAGAAGGTGTCAGATTCTACAAGTTTTATTGGAGAGTTTTATAAGAAATGGAATTAGTTGTCCCTCAGACATGACATGATGTTGGAATAATCTGGGGTCAGTGTTTCTCCCATGATCATTCCATAATATATGTTCGCCATAGAGAAAAAGATACATGATAAAACGTTGTTCTTTTGCGAGGGGTAAATGTTTAATTCTGAAATAATCGTGTTTCAAAAAATATTCATTGAATTTTATTTTCATCCTCAACAAAAATAAAAATCATATTGATTTTATTTCACTCCACAAATTGATTAAACTGCTTTGAGTATATACTTGAGAGTTGTTAAGACAGTTGATCATGTATTCACATTGGTGTTATTACTGTAAATTATTAGACTTTCAGGAGATATTAGTTTTGTGTAAATCCAGCAGAGCTAATTGCAAATTCAGGTCTTGAGAGAATTTATTTATACATTTTTATAAGCTAGACGTACTCAGCATAAACAACTGTTAACTTAAAAAAATCAAATTCCTGCAAATAATTATTTGAATCCCGATTAAATAAACCACAGACTTAGATAGCTAATTCCGTGGATAAACACTGGGGGCAACCGGAATGTTTTAATCACTATGAAATAGACAATAACAAACTTATTCATGTTCGGGGCTAATGTTAATTTGATCTGGATTTATAGGCAAAAAGCCTGTGTCCAGTATTATCATATCATTAAATACATTTTTGAAACACAAGCCCAAAAATGAAGATTCACCAAAAAAAGTGTTTTCCAGAGCCAGCATCCCAGGAAACATTATAATTTACTGTCTAGCTTTGTTAATCCAGTGACCACTAATATATATTCTGATTGTTCTATTTATGTCACATTTGGTGGGGACATTTTGCACCTTAAATTGACCATGATTCCAGCCTCTTTAGCTTGGAAAAAAAATGAAGGCAACCATATGACTCTGCTGTAGTGATTAGTATTAACATATAAGATTTTGACAATGGGACTCTGCTGTAGTGATTAGTATTATAAGATTTTGACATTGGGACTCTGCTGTAGTGATTAGTATTATAAGATTTTGACAGTGGAAACCTGTTTCTATAAACATATTATTTATAATTTTACAACATTATTTTATCAATTTTTGATAAAAATGGCAAATGTTGTTGGTTTTTTATCCTGAAAAATTGTTAAGATTTTTCTTCTATGTATTTTTTTGTTAAGTTTATATGACATCGTTTAATTGATTGTTGTATTTTATGCATTGTCAATTCATGTTAATTAACCAAATATTTTATTTATGTTTTTTTAAGGTAATCACAAATGTAAATGAAATTCAACCAATATTGAAATTATTAAGTGCTCAATAAAAATGACAATTTATATGTATTGTGCTTATTTATTAAATCATTTACAGAGATATATGACTGTAAGGAGGGGGTACTGCCTTAAACGAAAATCAAGAGGGACTCAACCATTTGTTTTGTTAATCGTCATCAAACCTGTCTATACAGTATACAGTACACCTGGATTAACAGGTTGAGACACAAAAACCTGTCATATGTGGTAGACAAGACCATGTCATATTGGACAAGATGTCATTAAAGTCTGGTGTCATTATAGTCAGGTTTTTCTGTAACTAAAAAAATAACTTCATATTGCATTTTAAAATGTACGACATTCAGAATTTGTAGATTTCAAGAAATGTGTGAAACTGAATCAATAAGTAGCCTACTGTCAATTATTTTTGACTCTGAGTCTGACCTTTTGAGATAACTTGCTCAATGTTGAATTAGTCCAAATATCCTTTAATACCAGAACTCCTAACCATATACAGAAAAATTGTCCAACCCTGTACGTGTTGAAGTCAAGATCTCGTTCAGGGCATAATATAACAAAAATTCTTATTTTCATTTTCAAATTTGAGGTTTTGGACATCAAAATCTCAAACATTAAAAAGTAAACATAGGCTAATAGCCTCAAAAAATTACAGACAGTTTTATATAATTTCATGATATTTTATTACAGAATCTTTGACTCTCAACATTCACAATTTCATACGAAATGGACGGAAATGACATAAATCAGTATGGTATTTCAATTTGTTTAATTTATCACAGATTATTCAACGTAAGTCAAATATCAACAAAAAATGTTTTCTCATAACAAAAATAAATAATCCTTGGAATAAATTACTACATGGTTAAAATGTCTTTGACATCTTTGATAATTTTTAACAACATGGTTTTCATATGTGGAGCAAACTATACCATAAAGTGTAAAAATAAATCAATAATATATTCAAAACTCTGTTTTAACAGTAAACATGTATTTGTTTTTAAGAACATAGTTTATTTTGAGCTAAATGACTGGTTTTCATACCAGAAGAACGTTACACATGCTCAAACTGACTTCATTTTATAGCCAGTGAAATGAATGTCCCTTTTGTCAGAATGACAAAATCAAGCAAAACAAATATTTACGATGACAATGCACTACCTCACAGAACACTGAAAATTTTAATAGCACAAGTAAGTTTTTTTTTTTTTATCAAATCATGATAAAATTTGATCACACTAGCACAGCCTTTATCACTGACTGCGGAGGAAGAGGGCAGCACCACACTGTAGCCAATTGCTCTGGTTGCCCCCACATGGGACCTCAAGCCTCGTTACGATCCGATCCCGCTCTGCACTGTAGTAGATCGGGATGGTGATCACATCATCCAGGCCGTACGGGGACGGGGCATCCTGTTCGTAAAAAATAAAATTTGGTCAGTTTATACAAAGTGGAATAACTTATATGAAAGGGAAGTAACTCAATAACAACTTTTTTTTATACCTCCTTACCCTCAATTTTTATAAGGTATTAATTTGAATGTTTATAAACACAGGATAAAAAGTGTTGCTATTATTTACTGATGTGTATACTTGTATTATTAAACAAAATTAATATAATTTATGTCATATATTACTCAAAATCCCAAAACGAAGCCCCTGTGGACTAAACATGAAAGAAAATGACAGATTGGGGACAGAGATTTATTTCCAGAACTTTCAGTACATGTACATGTATATATAGGGGACCAGACGTGCCTGGCCGAAACTAAAAAGCTGACTGCTAATTTGCAGTGTTCCTTCATGAAACAAGGTCTATTCACATATGTATATTAAGGACAAGGTATAGAATTTAGTACTCAATTCAAAGAAGCACATATTCTTGGTTTATTTGTTACAAAACTCTGTAAATGTGCATTTTGAGCTCTGCTTATCAGGTTGACCCACATATGATCCAAGAGAATCACAGAATATTTTTGTGCCTCCTGGACCATTTCAACCATGATATACAGAAGGAGCCTTACAACAAAAGGGAGTAAATCACATAAAATGGGGAGTAACTGTGACCAAACCATACCTTTGGTACCCAGGCTACCACACAGGGAGGTATACCAGACACGCTGGGTGAGTCTCGCTGGTTTTCAGACAGTCTGGACCCGTCAAAGTTGCATCCCTCTATCTGTAGTCCGCCTAGTTTGACGACTGTACGGGCCCCCTGGATAGAGCTCTTCCAGGTACTAGCAAACTTGAGACCGTCCATGGAGCAGCCCATCTCTCTGCAGACCAAGATATTAACAGTTTTAGGTTTAGGTTGCATATTGAAATGTAATTTACACAACAAAATAATGAACTCCATTTAAAATTTAGGTAGTGGTGAAACATCTTTCTGCATTTGTTTATCATGTTTAAACGGTTGGACCAGAATTGTTCGTTTATGAAATAGGGTCGGACCTAGTAATCTGATGCTGCATTCAGGCAAGCCTGGATAAACATTTGGAAGTCTGTCAGGATTTATACACGAAAATGTTACATTTAAAAACAGACAAACCAGTTATGATAATAACAAGCAAATTCGTGGAATTTATATCCCCCCGCTTTCAAGACATATTGTAGGTAAACATTATTGAGGTTAGGTTTAAACATGTGAGTATCGTGCGGTTGAGACATAATGTATAGCTTGAAACTCGAAGAAATAAAAGCCTTATCTAATATTTGCTAGAGTTATTAAGCGGAAACTGCAGATAATGACTCTGCCAAATGGTGTCCGATTAAAGTGGTTGTCAAACTTGGCCGAGCCCTTAATGCGTTGAACCCTGTTACTAAGTTTGAAGACAATCAGATATTATTTGTTGTAGTTATTGCACGGAAACGAAGCGTGACAGACAGACGGACAAACCCAAATTAATATCCCCATTTCGGTGAAAGTGGGGGATAATAATAATAATTTGAGGTTCTTATATACCGCTTTATCACAACCTAGTTTGTAGGTCGTCTCAAAGCGGTTCACAAATTATCAGTTATCAGTTGAACTAGATACGTGAAAGGGTCCTAGTTGCTAATTACTGACTCTACTAGAGGAAATTCCCTTTAGCTCTATACATAAAGCACTAAACTATTAGTCAGGTGTCACTGGTTTGCCTCCTGGATACAGTAAAATTGACAAAATGAATTCTATTTATACTCATTAGGTAAGTTTTTTGCCAGGCAACATACATGGTTTGTTAGCCGTGTGTAGCAGATATGTCTTATTGTAGGGTTAAAGTTTAACATCTATTATAAGATTTGTTTTTAATGTACTTGCAGATAAATTTAAATGTCTGCTTAAGCATTGATAATTATGTTCTAAAAGGAAACACCGGCCAAGAAGCCCTACCTTGCTGTTTGTTGACGGAGAGCATTAAGGAACGTGTCGGGATGGAAAAGTTCCGACAGATCTAATTGTTCCCTTAGTAGGTTTCCATTCTCTGCCTTGTCAACCCATTTCTGAATGGCAGTTGCCCTAGCGACCAGACCACGGAGGTATATGATGGGGTCCTCCGGTCCGTCCCACTTAGACAGCCAGTTCAATGGAGTCTACAATTATAACCATACAAGTCTAGTGCATTAAATCGAGACAAGTTTCTGGACTATCTGCGCCAGATTTTACACAGATTAGGTCTAGGTGATAAACGTTACAATGGGCATTCCTTCAGGATAGGGGTTGCTACCACAGCTGCCGCATCTGGTGTGGAGGACCATGTTATTCAGACTTTAGGACGCTGGTCCTCTGATTGCTATACTAGATACATAAGGACATCTCAGGTTGTGATATGTCAAGCTCAGAAAGCCATGTGTAGCTAGTTTACCTTTCTTAGACATGCAGAAGAAAAGTGTACTATATATGCTCAGGATAAAAAAATAAAAAAATAAAAAATAAAAATAATAATAATAATATATATATATATTATTCGGTTACCTAGCTTATATGTACAAGATACCTAAAAGGTTTGTTTGTATGACATGATGGTATATCTTAACTATACTTATTTCGGAAGTTATAAATACTGAGAAGTGCAGAAAAACTTCTTGTCCTTGATTTTACTTTTTATCGACATAGCTATATAGGGTCGTTATATTATTACATGTTATTTCCTTTTTCTAGTCTCAAACATAATGTACATACATATTCTTTTTACAACTATTATCTTCTTGGGGCTCTCACTCATTTATGCAAGCATAATTTCATTCATTTGGCCATTAGAATTCAAGGGAATTCTTTTCCCCATTCAGATAATAATTATTCTTCGCTTTTATTAAGATCACACTATTATTGGATAATTTGGTATAAGATTGGTTTTTTGATAATGGTGCAATTTATAAGATACATGCAGGTGATATTGCATTATGTTTCTAGTTTCTATTATGTAAAGATTAAATGGTGAGTAGCCCCAAAGAAGAGCCAAAGTGTAGATTTATTATACTTTAGAATCTAAATTTTAATAAACGAGTTCTAGAATTATTTCCGTTTTATCTTATATGTTGTGTATAAA